TGTTCTTGTTCGTTGTACTACTTGAACTTGACTTCTTGGCTTTTCTTGATCGGCTTTTCCTCAACACCGCCTTACCTTCGGTGAAAGGCTGCCTGCGTCCACACCTCGACTGGTTCCCTCTGATTCTGCATTTGCCGGCAGCACTGCAGGCGTCTGCTCATCGTTCCCTCTGCGGGCTGAGCTTTGCGGTGTCGTAACAATGCCTGCCTTCGCCGGCCCCACGCCACTGCCCGGCAGTGCGCTGCCAGCACTTAGCTGATGATCATCACCGTTTGGGTCTTTTGGTGTGTTACTTGTGCCCTCCTCCCGCCGTGGCTCCTGCGATGCCTCTTCCCCCCGCGCAACTCCGGCGGGAGCGTCTCCGAGGCACCCGGCGGCTGCGCACAGCAGCGGCAGCAGCAGCAGCATCAGTGTGAGGAGCGGCGCGGTGCGGCGTGGCCGGCGCATCGTTCGAGAAAAGTGCACGTGGGGTCTCCCTTCGAGCGGCAGTCGCGGTGGTGGCGGCGGCAGCACAGGCCCTCTCCGCGGGAGGAGAAAAAAGAGAGAGAAGCGACAAAAAAGGAGCAAACTACTGAGAACAAACAGCAAAACAAAACAAAAGCAGTCAAACGCGGTGCCAGCGGCGTGAGGCACCCAACACCTCGCGGGGAGAGAAAAGCAAATCAGGCACACCGCCGCGGTGCTCGAAAGTTCGACCCAGTGGGACCTTCCCGCCCCGCAGGTCGCCTGAACTTTCTTGGCTTTCGCCCATGCAATGCACCGCCACCTCTGCCCGTACGGTTCATCGCACTCCGGAACAGGGAGAAAAACAAAACAAAACAAAAAAAAAACGGTGGAAAATATGTATCACTTCCCGCTGACGAAGTGAGGACAAACAACCTCCAACACAGTGGGCGGAATTTTTCCCATATGCTGTTACGCACGCCTTTGTATTTACTCGTGCGCCGCTTGCAGTAGACATCTTTAAAGAGACAAAAATTTAAAACATATAATAGAGAGGAAAACTTAGTTTTTTTGTCACATTTTTTTCAGCATCAATAAAAACAAAAAAGAAAAGAAAAGAAAAGAAAGGTAGTTGTCAGTTGGAGAAATCTGTCTCCAAGGCGAACTCAAACCAATATATAACTGGCAGGCACATTGTACGTGCAACTTTTGCAAGGCGTGTTATCTGCCATTACCAATACATTAATATTAAAAGCGTGAACAGTACGAACACTGCAATTGATGAGTAAATTGAAAACAAGTTACTCATATCTTCAGCGGCACTGCGTGCCTCGGAGGCAAAGCAAACTTCAATGTAACTTGGGCACAGAATTATTCCCCCCGTGAAGAAGCCTCTTGGTGTAATATTGCCGCCTTCTGGGCATGCATGCCAGGTGCTATCACCATAGTATCGCACCTTCAACGTTTCATTCTCGCACAACACATCAGCACACACGTCGCCAATTGCACCAACAAAATCATGAAGCCCATCCGTTTTGAAACACCTTGCCAATGGGCCAACTCGGCTACCAGGCATAATCCTTGCTGAACCATCGAGGCACCGAGTGTTGAAATAATCTTCAATGTAAGGGCAGTAGTCCATCAAGTTGGAATAAGTACCGCCAATTTTGGGATTCGTAAAGTACCGAAACTGTGCAGGAAGAGCGTTTTGGTGGGTGTAAATAGCACAGTACCCCAGGGCCAGGCGATCCGAAGTGCACAACAAAGGATTGTCAGGCGAGGTACAAAACATTTCCGGATACTCGGTGACGCCGTTGGTCAGGCACTTCTGCGTCAGAAGATCACATCCAGAGTTTTTGCCCCATGCCATCGGCTCCGCCATCTCCCACTGCGCCCGGTAAAAGCCCATGTCCACAAAAGCAGCCATCGTCAGCGCCGTGTAGTAGCCGACTCCGGCGATGCCTGCCATCAGCTCGTCCTTTGCATTGCGTCTTTTCCAGTGCGACAATGCCGTTCCACCCCCACCCTCGTCCTCCAGCTCCATTCCAGGGGCAGTCGTGCAGTTGTATTGCTTACGAGTCACTTCCAGTACATTCGGTGAGGACACAAATAACACAGCGTTTGGTTTTCCACGTACCCCAGATGCCGTATGTACCATACTGTGGCGTCGCATCATGCCAGCAAAAAATCCAAGCGTATGTGCGACCTCATGCGTGAAAACACGAATACTATACTCTGTGTCACTTATAGACTTGGTAGGAAAGTTTATCACACCAACAACCGGACGTCCATTCATGAGCAAAGAGCATGTAAGAGCCCACGCAAGAACCGAACCTCCTGATGGACCAGTGGCGGCGTACAAATACATATCCGCGCCAAACACACCCGTTGTGTGGTGGGAGCTGGGCACTGTAAACTCACTGCATATACCAAATGTGTAGATTGGAATAACTATTCCGTTTTCCAGTGGTTCAACGAGGAGTCGATCCATGTGCATCTTGATCGCTTGGGGGATAACCTTATTCACCAAGATGGACCTTTTTTCCGGTGTAAAAATATCATAATTCTCACACACAAGGGTGCCTCCAGTGAAGTCCGGACGCGACTCTCCCGCGGCGATGCAGTACTTCGAAGGATTGCTTAGGTCCTCCGTGAACACCATTATACGGATAGGTGCCCATCCTTTTACAGAGGCAGTAAAGAACTGCGCCATACCGCGGTCCCGATTTGGCAGCTCCAGCTCGACCACTGTCGTCAGGGGCCCAGACTTATTCGCGAGTTCATCGACGATGCAGCGCCGCTCAGCATGGACGAGACCCACATTGGCACAGCAGAGGAGCAGCAGAATGGCTTGAAAAGCGTGTCCCATCCTTGAGTAGTCTTTTGGTCCCTGGGCTTGCAACATCACAAGTTCACTGCCTGTATGTTGGGAGAATATATTATCTAGCTATACAAAAAAAAATGTACAGGTGGGATAATTGCGCTAGACTCGATAATATACGGCAACAGTAAGTTATGACATCTGTTAAAAAAAATAGACGGAGCACAATGGTAAAGGGCCAGCTTGGCGTCCTTTTCATGCTAAAGCGTTTGGACTTCATGAACGCAACGTTCATTCATTTTAGGGCGATTGACGAAATAATCCACGCGGATGCAGTGATGGGGCTCAAACTCTTTAGTTATTTCCCCTTTCTGCCGTGCTTGACATCCGTACGAAGAGGTCACCTCGGTCGCCAGTAGCTCCCTCCTTACTGCAAAACTTTTCCCCACGGTCACTTTCTTTTGCCGATGGCATCGCACCTCATTTTTTCCCCCCTTTTGCTTGCTGATCCAATTTTTGTGAAGACAACTATTGAAGTTTCTCACGTCTTTGCCTTGATCGAGTATACCAAATTTATATGTAGATAGACCGCACCTTCGTCGGTGTGTGTGCGTGTGTGAATCACCTTGTTTTCCTCCGGAGGAATGTTAAGGCGTTGGGGGGACAAACACCACCACCGCATTCGAAAAGCCACACTCTCTGAGGCCCACACTACCTCCATTGCTCTGAAGTTCATAGATTTCCTCTAGGCCGCAACACTGAGTATCACACATCGCGAGTGAGTGTAGGGCGCCCTTAGCAATCGCCAATCCAAACAAATAAAAACTCAACAGGCGACACACTCCCTCCTGCAACCGTCCATAATTTCTGAGAGTTTACAAAATAAAGCTGATAAAAAAAAGATCTCAGATATCCGGGTTTCTAAAACAAAAATAATAATAATAATAATAAAGCAAGAATGATGGGCGTATACATCAAAAGCAAATTGCTCAGCCACTTCGATGCCCAGCTTCTTCTCCTACGGCCTTAAGACCCCCTAACAAGCCATTACCTTTCCAAGCACTGGATAAGGCAATTCCAGGAAATGTTTCTTGATTCGCTATTTCTTCGATTGATGACGTCGGTGACAATATCACGGAGCCGTTGAAAGCGCGTAAGCTTTCGGTTCACTTCAGCCTCTTCAAGGGGTGAAATCTTTGTGGGATATAAAGTACCAGGACCATATGAATACAGGAAATCCACATAGTCGTAGTAAGTGTCATTCAATGGAAGCGAGTTTTTAAAACGGCACCAATGCAGGTGAAACGGTGAGCCCACCTCACCAAGTCCCACCATTTCAGCGTGTACAAAGGATCGAACCCCTCCACTTGGCGGCGGACCTTCTATACTTGAGTAGAGAGAATTGACAACCAATTCTTCAAACGTTTTTAACCTTTTCCAATCCCTAAAACACTCCCGGCGAAGTAAAACGGCACCGCGACTTGGCATCTGCAGACGGAGCGAAGCAAGAAGATGTGTCGACGCGGAAAATTGTTCCTTCAATAACCTCATGTAAGACTGAAGAGATTCCATCTCCTTCATCATGGATCCGGCCCGCCTCCTCAAGTTTGAACAAGCTGCGCCACTGTCAATGTTCGACTCGTCTATCTCGTTATGCACGGTTCGTACAAATGACAATCCAGAAGAAAATCCTCGCCCACTGAGCTCGTTTGTGCTCTCGCGGTGCATAAACACTCTCGATTGTGCTTCCGGTCTTTGCTCTAAACGGTGAACAAATGCAACTCTATTAGAAGTAGAGCTAACTTCTACATAGTTTGTCTCTATTACAGGCAAAGGAGTTCGCTGCAACAGGATTTTCTGAATCTCACGAAGTGGAAGGCGGCTATAAGCATACATCGCAGTGGCCGGGTTGTCAGCGAGAAGGGCTCTCCACAGTGAAAGTGAGTTTGCTTCCTCCCTCCAAATTCGGCAAACACCCGCACAAACAATTAGGTCCTTCGCGGGCAAAAAAGGAATCACATCCGCAACAAACGACGTCACAAACGGTCGGCGGTGGCGCCTCGCGGGCGGCGGCGGTGGCGCAGATGGCATCCCCCTCCCGGCACCAACGCGCGTCTTCGCGTATACGTGCAGGCGTTTTTTTTCCTTTTTATTTTCCTGCCCGCGCCTCTCCTCCCGGAAGGCGGGCTTGCTGAAAAAAAAGAAAAGAAGAAAAAAAAAGTGGAAGTAAAGGAAATGCGACGGGGGTGGCCGCGGCAAGTACGCAAAGGAACAAGCAACAGCAACAACAAACGAAAAAGAGAAGACGGGCGATAGCAGGCGGCGGCAGAAAAGGGCGGGGTCGCCTATGCGTCTTGCGCATGGCTGGAGCCGAACGGCTTTTCTTTTCTTTGGCTTCGCTCTCCTTGTTTGGTGGAGCTGCTGCTTCTCTTGGGGCGGGAGGCGGCGGCCGCGGCCCGCCCGCCGGCGCTTCCTTTCGTTCGTTCTTTCGTTCTTCCTTTTTTTTCTTGCTGTACCGCGTGCGTTTCGGTGTTTCTTTTAGTATTATTATTATTGATTTTTGTTTTTGCCCTTTTCTTGTTCTGCTTGTTGCTTTTTTTCTTTGGTGGTGCTTTATTCGAAGTTCCCCGTGGGAATGCCGTCGGATCAAAGGGAAGAGTTCTCCCGGTACATTTCCGAGATTGGCCGCGTGCAACGTCAGCAGGTTGCCGATCGGATAGAGGTATTAGCTCGACACCAAAGCCGTGCCTGGCATTATTTTATCGGATGTGTGACCTTTTCCACAGCAAGTGTGATGCTTGTATTTAAATTATGGGGCCCCCGTCACATCTTCAAAAACAGTATATACTACGCCAGGCCATTGCCGCCGGCCATAAGCATGGGTGTCGTACTTTACGGTGTGGTATATACCTGTCGCGGTATGCTTATGAGAAATCGCATTTGTATTATGATGGAGGATTACGAGTATGAACTGAAGCGCATCAACGCACATCACTGTGAAGAAGGTGTTACACAGCTTGCATGGTTGCAATTTGTAACGGACCAATTGAAACAAGGTGCGGAATATCGCTTTGATTTCAAGAAACTTAGGCAAATGTAACTTGTGTTTTTTTCTTTTGCAACTCTTTGGGGACAGTTCATGAAGCTTCTGGAGGAAGACAGGATTACTTTGATTTAAAAAAAATACCAGTTACACAATTTCTGTGCTTTATTTCAGTATCTATGTGTGTGTGTTTTGGCCTTTTTTTCAAAAAATTTTTTTAAAATAAAAAATACCTTAATTAATAATCACAAGAATGATAGTAGAGGACAATGGACCTACAGCACGAAAGTAGTGTTACGCTTCGATTTGAGAGGGTCATCGCATATTTTTTGGATGGAATTCCCAGGCCCTTTCTCCAAATTGTTTCAGGTTTGGGCTATGGTGTGACGTTTGACTTTTGTTCAGTGGGGGTTACACCAGACTACACTGGCCTAACCGAATCAGCCTACTTTCCCGAGCTTCGAGAAAGTCAGTTGTTTGATCCCCTGTGCTCACGGTATTGTAATTCCTCAACACCTAGTTCGAGGATTGGATGCCATTATTCGCCATATATTGGGACATTTCGTTTCAATGGAAAAGGGGTGTATTTCAAAAAAGAAGAATCTGGTTTTAAGCAACGCATTGTGAGGTTTCCCACTGAAACTTGCGAAGAAAGGGGTACGATGTCATCAAAATCGGATCGGGATTTGCGCGCCTCGTTATTTATTGATTTTTATGAGAAAATTGCGGAAAAGCATTTAGTTCATGACAGAGGAAGTCTAAGACGTATTGTTATTTTGGCAACGCAAGGTATGACTGCAGAATACAAGAGTGCTGTTGAACAAGTGGTGGCTGAGATCAAGCGACTTTACATTAGGGCCTGCGGTCAATCCATGTATCAATACATGAATGAAAATATACAATTTCGTCGAATTATATCATCATTATGCTTAGGTGAGACCGAAAATTTATCTGTGACTTCCAAAAAAGTGGTGACATCTGAGGATGCTCGTTTTGAACTAGCTTTGCAGTTTAAGTTATCTGTTACCCTTTTAAAAGAGTCATTACCATGGGGCAAGCGAACGCACCAGTTTTTCACACGTCTTCAAGATTTATGGGTAAATAGATTTGATAAACTGGCTATCTTTAATATTTCTACGAATCAATGGACAACAAGTGCTGATTCATTTCTAGCTCAACTTGGAAGCTCAATGCGGGCGGCGTTTACTCGGATAAGAGTTGAGTTTTATACACAGTTAGAAATGCTTTTGTTTAGCGGAATTCGGGGATCAAGACAGTTTATTTTCCTGGATTCCCAAATGCTAAATGGGAGCGATCTAAAACGCATATTTTTGGCTGTGCGTGTATTTCTTGTTAATGGAGTTAGAACTCTTGTTGTTGAAGCATTGCAGGATTTGGTACATTTTTTTACGGGCCTTGGAGATGATGTTATACCAATTTCAAGGGCACGTAAAACACCGCTGATCGAGGTTCAGCTTACGGTTAGTGACTCGGGTTTGCCGTGTTCACCTTCTTTTGCCTCGTTGCGTTTTGGTCTTGCTGATTTGTTGGATGAGTTGCTTGATAGTTTTAACAATCTTCCCACTCCAGAGGCTGTCATTATGCGAACTCTTGATTTTGAGAGGTGTACATTAAACTCGTTTGATGCCGATGAGTTGTCTTTAAAAGGCGTATTAATGAATTCTCTGGATGCCGCAGGGTCTAGGATTGAGGAGTTGACAAGAGAATATGCCCGTTTTGCAACTTTGCCACCAATAAATGGGGCGTACTTTAGTCGTGCCAACGAGACAAGTATTCAAAATCAGGTTCATTTACTTCGTGAAACTATTGGAAAGATTGCAAAAACTTCCCCAGATGTTGTGGTTTCTGGTTGTATTGCCATAAATTGTACAGAGGTGAAAAAATGGTATGTGGAACACTGGACAACATATTTGGAAAAATATTTGGCGGCACTAAAAAGTGATCTTCTTTCCTACATTACAACTGCTGTGGAGAACTACCGTTGCCAAAACGCATGTTTAAATAAGGAGCCCAAGACCGTTGAAGAGTTAGAAGAATTTTGCCGGGTTGTTGCTGAGACTGAAATTCTGTCAAATAAGGTTAAACAGAAGGATTGCAATCAGGTGATAGGATGGTTTAATTGCTTAGAAATTCTTCAAATACCGGTGGAAAACCAACTTTATGCTATTGCATTGGAGTTGATGCGGTGCCCAAATGAGTTGATGCAGCTAGCTTCAGAATCGCTTGAAATATGTACAAAAAGCAAGCCATTTATCATAGAAAAATTAGGCGAATTTAGAAACAGTATACGAAGATACGTGCAAATGATAAGCGATGGAGTAGATGAGCTCCTGAGTTTATTTAACCTTGACGTATGCGATATCGCCGCTCAAACATGCGAAGAACTTCGGGTTATTGTTGATAAAGTTCTAAAGGGAATTGAACACATAAAATATTGTGAGAAAGCACTGGAAATTGAAAGCGTGGATTCTTTTGAAGATTTTTTCCCTATATTACGCATTTTTGACGTATTAGAACAATTTTGGGATGCCGTTTTTGAATCAACTGCAGTTCGAGAATATTACAACCAACCCATCAATATGTTGAATGCCACAAAAATGATTGACTATGTCCAGCGTTGTCGACGTCTTCTTCACAGTTCTACGCGTGGTCTTCGGGCCTATCCAGGATTGGTGCGGCTTGGTCGTCAACAAGAGCACGTATTAGCTGAGTTTGAATCTCTGGAAGGGATTCTCATATGTATTACAGCACCAGGACTTCGCAAAAATCACTGGAAAGAAATCTCACGTATTATTGGAAAGGATGTAAATACTAAAATACAAATAGACTCTAGTTCTCCGTTGCAGTTAATACTAGAATCTAGGATTCAATCCCACTTTGATGAATTGAAGCAAATAGTGGATCCAGCTACCGTTGATTTTGAAACCGAAGCCTCTTTGGAGCGAATGAAAAGTGAAGCAAAAAGGACCCGCTTTGTCTTTAATGTGATTGAAGGAACAGAGGGTGTTTTTGCTTTATCTCCTTTATGCAGAGATTCTATATCTTCTCAATTAGAAACCTTTCTACTTGATTTAAGAATGCTACGTCAGCAGGTTTCTGTAAGCCAATATGTGGTTAATTCTATCAATGAATGGGAGTTAGCCGTTGAAAGAATGCGAACCACGTTATCTAATTGGACTGAAATTGAATATGAATGGCTGGAAGCAATGTATTTTGGCATGACGCTGGATGCGATAGCAGAAGGTGAGACCCCTGCCCTTGGAGGACGCGAATGGAAATTTTTGCATGAGAAGATAGGCTCAGTAAATGGTATTTTCAGTGTTTTGTCGACGGCTTTGCAGAAAACTCAATATACCCTTTTTACCGCCATGATACAAGAGAATATCCAGGAACAACTTACTTTGGCGTCTACTATTTTGAGTGATATTCGAAAAGTAGTTATGGGTTTATTAGATGCAAAGCGAGAGTCTTTTCCTAGGTTCTATTTTCTCAGTGACGGAGAGCTGAGTTCTTTTGTTTCCGTGCTTGATAACACACGACTGACGCAATTACTTTCAAAAATGTACAGTCGTGTTTGTGATGTTGGAGTTGAGAGAAATGCAGTGACTACATTCATCACAGCAGATGGTGCCATACTTAAGGCGGAAGAGCCAATTAAGTTATCTGCCATTCCTATTGATCGATGGATGAAGACATTTGAAGCGACCCTGCGTTCCTCCTTACTCCACGAATTACAGGCGTGTGTCGAAAGCCACTATCATGTCGACGCCATGAATTGGTTGCGTGGTTCTTGTGTACAAATAGCCCATCTGGCTCTTCGCATTATTCATAACCGAGATTTACTTGAGGCTTTATCGCTTGCAGGTGGTATGGGTGTTAGTTCGTATGCGACACGCTTAAAGGATCTTATGGAAGAGTATTTACGACTCGCAGCCGCACCCATGGAAAGTGGTGAACGGAAGCTTGTTTCTAGTGTCATTACCTTCTTTTTATGTTCCAGACGAGAAGTTCAATTGGCCATAAAAGCAGGTATTCAGACAAAGGAGGATCTTAACAAAACTGCCATGATACACACCTTCATGGAAAATGATAAAATTTATGTTGAAACTTTAGGTTTTCGACTCCCGTATGGCATGGAGTTTTTGGGGAACTACACGATCCCTGTGTTAGCCCCAGAATACATTGAACGCGGACTGTACTCTGTTTTCGTGTCGTTTGCAGCTTCATCTGTGCCGATTATCATTGGGGCACCGGCACGGGCCCCGTCGTCTCAATATTGTGCCGAATTCTTGGGTCGTTTTTGGTGGTGTCTTCAGTGCCATCCGACGCTTACGTTGGAAGGGATCCTGCAGGGTTTACGTGGGGCCTTGGGTGTGGGTGCCATATTTTGTCTAAAAGACATTGACCTTCTTGCGAGACACCTTGTTTTTCCCATTACTAATCTACTTCGGAGCATTGAGGCTGCATCTCAGTTGGAAAAGCGGCCGAGCGATGGAGGCTTTGACAAAATTGCACTTGAAGCGGATGGCACAACGAAGTACGTCCAAAAAGACCCCTGCTTTCAGATGGTTCTTACAACGACGACCATAGATAAAATCCCGACGAGTCTTTCCCTCACATTTCGCCCTATCCACGTGATACCCGTAGACCTCACTGTGGTTACCCAACTTTCACTTTATGTGCTTGGAGTTTCAAAGTGGATGACGCTAGGTCAAGGACTGGCCTTGATGTACGCGCAACTTATTGAGTTTTCTCCTACAATCTTTACCACCAGCAATTTACTTGCCGTAACACGTGCTGCCATGGAGCTTAGCAAAGGAGCAGTTATTGTACGATTTTGTATATCATTTTTACACCAATTTTGGCAGGCAATTGAGTCCAATGAACCTTTACAAAAGCTGGTGGAGTGGAACATGCTGCATACGCTTGGTGTTTCACAGGATTCATGGGTCGATGCATTGGTTCAAGTGGAAGCAGCCTCAGGATTTGAGGCTCTACTGGATCGCTTTACCCGCTTCATGACAGTGAATCCTAACGTCGTGCTAGTAGGACCAGACTACTCTGGTAAGACACGACTTTGGAGGCGTTGGGTCGGTGATTTACACCACGCTGTCATTTCCTTTCGCTTGGTGAATTGCACGGAAATTTACGGTGATGCGTGTCGGCCCGGGTTGCTTAGCGCCATAGCCAAACATTGGGACCCGTTGGTAACGCATGCTGTCGTTATCGAGGATGCAGATTTTTCACAGGTGTCTATTGTCTTTGATGCTCCGGCTTTTGCGCGAGTGCGGCCGTATTCGGGGCCAGATTTTATAAAAGGCCCCGCGGCGCGCCTCATTGCGGTGACGCCAGAACTTAACACAGCCAACCCTCGTGTGATCGCCGATTTCTCCCTTTTTGCTGTGCCAGCGCCAACGCGTTGGAAGACGTTCTTTAGGGAGCTTCTTGCCACCCCGCCAAGCTATCATGCGGGTGTGGCATATGCTGTTATGATAACTCTGATTGACTACATCCTTGATACGCGTCACACGGTTAAGCGGGCGCCGGTGTCGTATGAAAATCTCTTTGCTGTGGCTTCCAGGTGCTCCCAGCTGTATAAAAAGTGGTACTCGTATGCCAAGTCACGTTGCGTGAGCCGCGAGGAATGGATTACGGATCGGGCTTTCGCACTGCAGTGTGCTGTTTTTGCGGTCTGCTGGTCCCTCGGGTGGCGCCTACCTGCGGAGGAGCGTCAGGTGCTACAAACCGTCCTTGAAAAGTCCCAGTTGAAGCTAAGCAGAGTAGCCAAGGAGATTGGTTTCACGGAAGATGTGTTGCCACCACTGGAGGATGATGTTTTGCTTTACATTGCGACGCCCGTTGGCTGGCGAAAGATAGATAACGCGGCAACAACCACGGCCGAGGCTGGATTTGCGCCCATGTGGACGCGGAAATGGGATGGCGTGGGTACTTACCAGCGTACATGGTCGCAGTTTTTTCCATTTCCCTCGCGCGAGACAACCCTGACCGCGTTGGAGTATTTGATTGACGCCGGCCAGTCGGTGTTAATTGTCGGAGGCCAGGGGCAGGGTAAGTCGGCTATACTGCGTCAAATGGGAAGTAACCGGTGGTGGGTGCATCAGCTTGTCTGTAACAGCACCGCATGCAGGCCGCTTGAGATTACGGAGGCTTTGCAATGCAGGATGACTTTGCGTCAGTCCAAGAGTTATGGACCCTCCATTGGACGAAAGCTGGTTCTCTGTGTCGACGATGTAAGTCTAGCTGGGAAAAATAGCTCCTCACCGGTGATGCATCTCTTTTCCTTCATTAATCGCTTTTCTGCGATTTGCACACTTTCGCGTGGGTATATTCCCATCGACGATCTTGTCTGTGTAGGGACGGCGGCGCCAGACGCCTCCTTCGACGTGGCGGTGGAGAACGCCGTGGTGCAACTGCGACTACCGGAGCTCGAGGATGCCGAGGTTGTGGGGGCGGTGGAAAAGCTTTTTGAGGCCGTCTGCGCGGAGAGGCGCGGGGTGACTGTTTCCACCGACATCAGTGCATTTCTTGCCGCCGCCCAGTTGACTGCCATACGGCTGATGCCCACGGAGCTGGGGGGTGCGCAGGCAAGCGAGGGCGGCGTTGTCGCCTTGCCGATGCACCAAGGCGAGGAGGGCGTGCCTCAGCAGCAGGCGTGCGACAGCAGTTTTGCGTTTAATTTGACCAACAAGGCCCGCACCTCGTACTTGCACCTATTCCTCAAAATATCTGACCGAGCCCTGCGCTTTCTTGCCAACTCCTGGGATGACCCCGGGACGGCAAAGATCATCCTTAACGCCGTGTATGCCTTTTACGCAAACATGATTGACGACAACGAGCGACAGCGGGGGTTTGAGTCGGAGCTAACGGAACTGGCTAGCACCCGCTTGAAAAATTGCTTTGGGAACGAACGAGTCTCCCTCGGTGTCTTGCAGGAGGAGACTGCGGTGGAGGAGAAGGAGGGGGGGACGGATCTGCCGCCCTGCACCAGCGGGGTGGTGCAAGAGTGGCTGCGGGCGTACGAAGAGGCCCTGCAGTCCAACGCCATTGAGGAGCCGCCTAACGTCGACACGGGCGGAATTATTCTCTTTTCTCCACCTTCCTTGCTCCAGCGGAGGATGCCCGCAAATCTTCCGGGCATACTGGTGGCTCCACGTCTCTCGCACGCCAATTACACCTCACAGTGGACCTCAAGGTTAATATCGGCCCTGCATCAGTACCTGCGACAGCAGCAGACGCACGTGGCGCTTGTTGGAAGGTACGATAATGGCATCCGCCGCGCCCTGCGTGTGTGGGGTTCGTCGGTGCGCACCCACGTCGCATTTCTTCGTGATAACTACGCCAACGATGACGCGGATGGGCGGTTCAAGAAGGATCTCATGGAAATCATCCAACACATCTGCAGAAATGAGGGCAGGTTGGTTGTGTTTGTGCCGAACTGCGTCTTGGGGCTCGCGTGGCCGATGGGTTCGCTGGACGCCATCGTGCGGAGCGGTGACGTCACGCAGCTCTTTACGTTGGAGGGTCTATTGTTCCTCCTGCACGGCAGGCGGGGTGTGCGGCGGGGCTCCGGTGGACTAACACCGGCCGAGTATTCTGAGCTCACGCAGCGCATCTGCAAACGGCTGTGTATTGTGACGCACATACTGAGTTACGGAGAGCTGAAGCGCCTCGGCGACACGATTCCCCTAATTTCCTCTATGATTCCCGTCTCCTTGCGGGCGCCGGAAATGCTGTGGGGGCTCGTGCACGCCCTCTTGCAAACGGAGGAGGCGAATCGTCAGGTGATGTACGAGGCTGTGGTGCAGGGCGGCAATCTTGGTCGCACCGTCCAGCCGCTGCCGCTGGGCCCGCTGGAGTTGGCCGGGCGGCCGCTGACGCAGCTGCTCTGCGACGTCTTTGATGTCATGAAGACGGAGCTCAGCCTGGGCGTGGAGCAGCTGCTGGAGTTTGGGTTCCAGACGCAGCGGCTGCGCTACTTCCTCGAGCGCCTCCGACGCGAGTCTGCCCAGTCGCGGCACATCACCGAACTGCCCACCGCCATCCGTGCCAAGATGCGGGAGTACAAGGAAAACATTGAGCAGAAGTCGGAGTCGGTGAAGGCGGCGATTCAGCGGCAGATCAAGAAGCTTCGCGCCCGCGCCAAGAGCGAGGAGGAGCGCATGCTGCGTCATCAAAACGCGGCCGCCCATTTTCGCCACGAGGCCGAGCAGATCGGGGCGCTTATCATGCGGGAGGAGGGAGGCATTCAAACCCAAACAGGGAACATGACCTCGACGCTCACCACAATGGGGTCTCGCCTAGCCGCCGTGAAGGTTTCCCAGATTAAGCAGTTTGCCAAGCTGCCACACCCGCCAAAAGGCCTGCTGCTGATGCGGGCGGTTTGCAAGGTTATTGGTGAGGAACTGCGTGCGACGAGTGGAAAGGGAATGTGGGAGCTCGGCAAGGCCATCGTCACCTCCCCAAAGTTCATTCCGAGGTTGCTGGCGGTGGCGCCTGGCACGATGAAGTATGAGACCTTCGCACAGCTGCATACATCCCTGCGGGAGGTGCGTTATGCTGAAATTTCTCCGTTTGCCGGCGCGATTGCGGATTACCTTCTGGCTCTCATGGAGTCGACGCGCCTTGGCGAGATGGTGAAGGAGACAAATAGGAGGCTGGGGGAGATGCGTCTGGACTACTCCGACTCCCTCAGCAAAGCAGACGCGGCGGAGCGGCGGGCGCAGCGGACCTCGGCAAGGCTAGAGGACGACCGTGCGGAGGTGACTCGTCTGCTGAGGCGCTCGGAGGACATGGATGCGATGAAGAACGATGGCATTCGGCGTCAACACGCCCTCGGACAGCTCTACGACATCGTGGATGGGTTCAGTGCCTTCCACTCCCCGGAGGAAACAGCCGCGCGAGAGACATTTGCCGAAAAGGGAGAGGGCTCTGTCATCATGGTTGCCGCCCATCGTGCCTTTTTCGCCATGCTCCCAATGGAGCAGCAGACACGACGATTTCGTCAGCTGCAGTCCCTCCTGAGTGCCTGGGGCATCGCGGCCCCCACCGACCTTGAGGATCCTATGGTAGCCTTGCTGTTCCGCAGCATAAACGACATCACCGATGACGCGCTAGTGTCGACGTGTTCTACCAGTGAACGGCTCTGCGTGGGCACGCTACTGCAAAGGGTGTATTTTCGCTGGCCCTTCTTTGCCGGGGTGAGTCCGACGTTTGAGAGTGTGTTGCAGCACTACCTTAAAATTATGTGCGGTGGATGCGTCGTGACGTCGGCGCTAAGCAAGGACTTTACGAAACAGTTGCTGGAGGCGGCAACGCAGGGCGATGGATTGTTGATCTGTGACGCCTCTGCGTCCTTTGTGCTGCATGAGCTGCGCCCCCTGCTGGCGCTTCAGCCAACCCTGCGGGAGGCGATGGTACACAAGCAGCTGGCAAGGGTCTCTCTCTACGGCGAAAACGTGGAGGTGAAGTCGTCCTTTTACGTAGTGTGCGTCTCCCCGGCCACGGTGGCGTGTGACAGGCAGGGCAATCTGGTGGCGCGCTTCATGAGCATCACGAACTTCTTCCTCACCCCCGACGTGGGCAACCTGGTGCAGACGACGCTGCTGCAGAGTCCGCTCACCCGAAACGCGGTGGAGGAGAAATACTTTGGGAGCACGCCCGGCGATGACGAACACCCCATCGAGGCCTTCAGTGAAGCCTTGCACGAGGCGAGTGCGCTGCTCTGCGAGGACCTTGACTTTCTAACAGGCGACGGCAGAAGTAAGATTGAACGCCTTGGTGTGCTTGTCAAGGACCTAAACGGCTACCACGTGCGGGTGCTGCGTGCAGAATCACACCACCAAACGAGGAAGAAGCGACTGCAGGAGTCATGGAGGAGTATTAGGCAAGCCATCTGCTCCGTCGAGCGCTCGCTGAGCGTGATTGAGGCGGGAATTCTCGGCAGGCGCTGGGAAGCGCGTAAACTGGAGCCCTTTATTCTAAGCGCATCGGAGCTAATGCGACCCTATCAGTCACGCATCGCACCCAACTCCTTTGAGATGCTTGCCGAGTCGCACAAGGAGTTCTACGCTACGGTCAATTTTCTGGATAGGGTGGTGCAGGTGCTGGGAGGCGGCTGGCCGTGCGAGTTTCGTGGAATTTTCGCTTGGTATGTCCTCTCAGGTGTGATCGTTCACTGCGATTTTCTTCTGCGGCTGCGTGGGCAGTTATACTCCCCGCTGACCACTCTGCTCAACGCGGAGCAGTACAAGGTTCTGCATTGCCTGTTGGACCGCGGCAACAGGGTCGTGGATGAAGCGTACGTGCGTGACGCGTACGCGGCGTCCTCTGACGCCCTGCTCAAAGGCGTCGTCAGCGATCTTGCGTCCTTCACCGGCGACCTTGCGGATTTTCGTTTGTGGGCCGGGGGCGACGGGACGCGCGGGGGGGAGGAGATGGTTCGCCATTTCTTCTACTGCTGGGCGAAGTTAAACTACACGTCATGCGACTTGGTCGCCTCGCGCCTTTACAACGCCTTTCTCTTCGCCGTCAAGGAGCAGAGTAGTGAGGGGGAGAGTGAGGTGAGTACGTTGTACGACTACGTGGGGAACGTGCCCGCGGCGGTGCACTCCCCCGGGGAGTGGCTGCGGTTCAGCCTCGGCGCCTGCCTGCCACTCTGCCTGGTCTCGACGAGTGTGCAGCACATCACCGGGCACTACGAGCGCTACTTCAAGGCGGCGAAGTTGTCCTGCCACCACTGCCGTGTTTCGACGCCGGAGGACGTGGATCAGCTGATGGAGACGGTCTCCGTCTGCTTCCGCACCCGTCCAGCGGATCAGGGGCACTGCGTCATGGCCGTCTTGGCAGTCCCTGAGGCCGCCTCCGAGCAGGCGGCGTTCATCCAGGCCCTCTCCACATATCTCTCACGCTACTGCCGCTACGGCGTTTGGGACGCGGTACGGAGCGGAACTGCGGAGCGTTTCCCAGTGCTTCTTTCTCTTGTCTTGTGGGGCTCTCCAAGCTGTGAAAAGGACCTGTACGGCGCAATGAGGCACAATAATGCGTGTGCGCAGATGCTGGAGGAGTGGTGTCTCACGCTGATGCACGAAGCATCCTTTGTTCGCTTCTATCTACTTTCCCTGCTGCAGGACGAAGGGGTTTTCCCGCCGTGGCATCGGGAGGGCACGACATTGATGCTTGAACGACCTGCTTCTTCCTCTGCCAGCGAAAAAAAGAGGAACTCCTCTGGGCGGGGCGGTAGTCGCGCGCCAGCGTGCGCTAAAATGTCAAACGTCATTGAACTGCATACGGGCCTTGTTAGTGGACAGATTGTGCTGCGCAGTTTGTGGCAGAAGAGCGCCTGTGGTGCTACCCTCCCCCCACTGTGGCACGCAACCGTTGACCGTGACGACCTCACGCTGCTCCTCCGCGTTATGGCGAAGTGGGTGAGAAACGAAAGAGCCATGGGGGTTGACATACGAAGGCGACGGTCGCTTCGATTGCTAGGTCGGCGGGATTCCAAACCCTCTACCGCGGACACTGTTTACTCCGGCTTGTCGCGATCGCCACAGGCCCTGCTAGAGAACGCGTTTAACAAGTTGGCGTTTGCGATCTATGCGGCTCGTATGACCACCTCCAGGTTTCGCACATGTGTGGTTGAGCTGCTGCGTCAGCGAGCATCCTTGATCGCGACTGAGGGAGGCTCTGGCAGGGAGGGAAGAAGCCTAAGCCTCAGTGTTGCCATTGAAGAGGCCTCCAAGGCCGGAACCTCAGAGACGGGCTTCCTTGCCGAACTTCGACATTCAGACGATGACTTCCATGTGCTCTGCGGGGACGAGCCGGCTTCATTGGCGTACCGCGACCTGATGGATGCCGCGCTGCAGAGACTCCTTTACGGCACCAGTGGCCCACCTGCGTTGGTCAAGGCGGAGAGCAGCGAGGAGTTGGCCCCGGCCACGGCGGAGCCAACGACGTCGGCCGAAGACTCTGAGCAGGCCCCGCGGGGGGAGATCATGCAGCTGCTCTTTCTCTGGGAAAAGGGTCACATGCAGGAGCTTCTCTCGGGGCTTAAGAAGAGGCAGGGTCAGAGTGCCGCGGTGTCTCGTGTGCAGGCGGCGATGCGGCAGCTAAGCAGTTGGGTGCCGGGAGAGACACTCACCGTGTGGTTACCCGCTCTGCAACATCCACGGCTGCTCCTTCACGCCTTTGCGTCGCGGGCACTGAGTAGAAGGGCAGATGATATCAGCAGCGTTGAAATGGTGTTGGTGTTGGCAAGGCGGTTTAGTCTCTTACACGACGACATTATTCTCGCCGGTGCGGCACCTTCGGAGCAGCTGGAGGAGGAGGTGCTCTTTCGCACAGACTGGGACGCAGCCCAGATGGCATGGAGAAAAGGCGCCGACGCAGCGGAGCAGGAGGAGGACATCGTCTTGGCTGTGAGGTTTCAAAAGAGTTTAAGTGGCGGCGCAGCGGAGGCGCCCCTTGACGTGCTGTGGGAGGTGCTGCCAGGCGAGAAGAAAATATATGGGCTTTCGCCGGTGGTCAGTCGCGGCAGCGGCGCCTTTCTGACGGAGACGTCGATGGGGAGCCCCTACAAGTTGCTGGAGGTGCGGTCCACCTGCCCCATGCCTGTGGTCTGCGCGTCTGCTGCCCCAACGGCGGCAACGGCGGGTGCGGGTGAGGTGGAGTGGGCTCTCCTCTTTGACATGCCGCTGCACGTCATCTGGCTGGGGAGCGACAGCCCGTCGAGGCGGCAAAAGTCAGTGGTGGGGGCGGCGGGGCAATCGACGCCGGGGACGGAGTTTTCGTCGACGCGGGCCTCGAGGAGGTCCATGGGGGAAGCGCCTTCGCCGTCTACTTTCGTCAACAGTTTGAGCTTTTTTGTGACGATTTCGTAGGCGACAGCGCGACGGCGCGGGCATCGTTGACGCAGCCACACGGCGTGCATGACGGTCATTTTTATTTTTATTGTTGCTGTTGTTGTTGTTGTTGCTTGAGAATGTGACGGGTGTGAGTGTAGGAGACGGGGTCGTGGAGCCTCTTCCGCATCCCCATGCTGGATGTAGAGACGACTAAGTGCTTGTAGCGAGGCGGCAAGAGCGGAGGGCGGCGGGTTTGGGGGTTGGGGAAAAAGGAGGGAGGAACCCCTTCTTTTCCTCCTCCTCCTCCTCCTCCTCCTCCTCCGCAAGCGTGTGGGGGCCTTGTATTCCTGCCTCTCCCGCTTGAACTTATTGCCACTTCATTGCTATTTTCGGTCTCCTTCCGTTGCGCTTCTGCAAATGACTTTGCACCCTCCCCCCTTCCCTCTACCCCCCGCCAAGAAGTAGAGGCAGACAGTGATATTAGTGAAGCAAGACAAGTTTCTTGTAGTCTGTGACTTCCCCTCCTCTCCGTTTAAGTCCCCCTTTTCTTTTGCGCGTGGGAAGAAAGCCCACACTTCAACAGCCCTTCTTTCCCTTGCTGGGGGAGTTTGCGTTTTTTTTTCTTCTTTTGCGTTTGCGGCGCTTCCGCCGGTGAATTCCGCCTCCTCCCCCCGCTCAACCCCCACCGCCGCTGCCGCTGCGGCGTCTCCAGAGAAATGGTGCCGCTCAAGGCGACCCTGCAGAAAATAGGACGTGACTTGTACGAGGCGGAGACGGCGGGAGATGCTGGCCGGGCGGTGCTGCGGGCGTTGCCAGAGTGGCTGCCGTGGGTGGGCGCCGGTGCCTGCATCACGGCGTACGTAGTGACGCTTCGTGTGAGGCTGTTTATTGCCCGCTGGCGCCGTGCGGCGCGGCGGCGGGTGGAGCGGAAATTCATGGCGCTAGGCTTCCTGCACGACTACGCCCAGCCGCCGGGGGACTCCTTCACGCTGGTGGGGGACGACGACGAGGACGAGGACGACGGCGACGGCGACGACACCGCCCTCACGATGGCCGACATTGAGGAGTTTCGCTGCAGCCTTGGCATCCGCTCCCCGCGCGACGACGACCTGCTGCTGCTGGTGGAGGAGATGCTGCTCGTAGACCCCATTCCCGACGGCTGGGTGCTGTACCGCACCTCCGCCGGCCTCGTGCGCTTCATGAACGTCAACACGCAGGAGCTCTTCTTCTTCCACCCCGGCAAACGGGAGGAGGAGCGGCACATACGCGCCGAGCTGAAGCGGCGCAACAGAGTCGTCATGGAGGCGAAGTTCAACTTCCTCGGCGGCGACGAGGAGAGTAGCCGCCGCTCGGTCAGCAATTCATCCTTTGCGCTGCGGAGGCAACGCATGAAGAAAACCAGTGGCACTTGCAATGCGTGTGGCGAGAGTGCCAATGGCGGCAAGGCGACTCTGAGCTTTAGCGACGACGACGACGACGACGAGGTGGACGGCAGGGATGAACAATCAACGTTTCGGCGACTGTTTCGCTACTTTGTCGAGCGTGAGGAGCGTAGGATTGAACGGGATGTAGAAAAGCAGCTTGGGATGGCGCCCGCCACCGGCAGCGGCTCTCTGGGGGCGCCGCAGGCGGAGAGTCGCAGCCTGCGCGTGCTTCCAGCGAACGTGGTTCACAGCGGCGCACACCTGAAGCGGGTCAGCGTCAGCTGACTCCTCTCCTCCCTCTCCACCGTGCGCTTCTACCACCGCTGTGTGATGGTGCTCTGCTGGCTCTGCTGGCGCCTCTTTAAGGCCCTCTTTGCAGATGTGTACCAACCACTGCAGCACCGTTTTAAACAGTTCCACCCGGCCGCGGAGGGGCCCTAGCTTCCTGTCGTGGAAAGCAGTGGAAGCGGGAGGACGAGAGTAAACCGAAAGTGATAGTAGAAAAACGAAGGAAAAAGAAAAGAGAAAACGAACAACAACAAAAGAAGGCGGGTGAGGGGGGTGAGGAAACAGGTCCGTAAAGCCCTAAATCCCCTCAACAATTCAAAAGGATGAGGAAACATGACCAACACCAACGCGGAAGCGGGGTGGGTGAGGCGGGAGAAAAGAAGCAAACAAGCACGTAAGGAGCCATCGGTGGAATGAGGGAGGCGTGCGAGAGGAGAGAGGGCAAGGCAGGGGCAGCGGAGATGCATCAACTGCGGCGAGCGTTGAGAATGAGTTGTGTGAATGAGGCGAACTCAAGGCCCCTGCCGTTGTGGCGGAGGTGGGGCTGGTGGTGAAAGTTGTGTCGCTGTGTGTGCGTCTGTGTGCGTCTGTGTGGACGTGCGGAGGGGTGAGTTACGTTCCTATTGCTTATATATATATATATGTGTGTGTGTGTGTGTGCGTGGACGAATACGCGGTCCTTGTCTTACGTGCTGCTGGCCTACTGGCTTGGGTTTTTCCTCCCCCCAACGAAGCGCCACCTGCTAGATCTTTTTTATTTGCTAACATCTTCACTTTTTTCCTCGTTTTTGCACTCCCGCGTTCCTCCTCCCTTTTTTTTTCTTCTTTACTCAACTGCCGCTCCCCCTCAAGCGCAGACTACGATGCCCGGCAAGGAAGTGAGGAAGGGCGCCAAGCCCGCCGCCAAGCCCGCCGCCAAGCCCGCCGCGAAGGCTGCCGCGAAGCCTGCCGCCAAGGCTGCGGCGCCCTACAAGAAGGAGAAGTCGGCGGCCCCCTCGCCCTTCGTGGCGCGGCCGAAGAACTTCGGCATTGGCCACGATGTCCCGTACGCCCGCGACCTTTCCCGCTTCATGCGGTGGCCCACGTTCGTGACGATGCAGCGGAAGAAGCGTGTGCTGCAGCGCCGTCTGAAGGTGCCGCCGGCGCTCCACCAGTTCACGAAGGTGCTCGACCGCTCCAGCCGCAACGAGCTGCTGAAGCTGGTGAAGAAGTACGCCCCCGAGACCCGCAAGTCCCGCAAGGAGCGTCTGTCGAAGGTGGCCGAGGAGAAGAAGAACAACCCGAAGAAGACGGTGTCGACGAAGGCCCCGCT